CTCCTGTCCTCTCCTTTCCTTTCCTAGCTTCCTCCCTCCGCCCTCTCCCTCCCTCCCTCCCTCTTTCTCTCATCTTTTTTGTGATAGGGTTTCCCATGCAGTTCTGGCTCACCTTGAACTCACTTTGTAGCCCAGGCTGGCCTTGAACTCTCAGTAATCCTCCTGCCTCAGCCTCCCGAATGCTGGGATTACAGGTGTAAACCACCATACCCAGCTATTAAATGTACTTTAAACACTATAATGAAAGTCTTAGCCAGAGAATAATGGGAAGTGAAGAAACTAAAAAAGTAGAATGTACTAACAAGAAAAAAAATGGGATAAAACGCAAAATAGATGAAGATACTGACCTTTCCCTGTACAAGCAGTCAAAAGATACAAATAGATTGTTCATGTAAAAAGAAACATTTAGTTTATAAGTGGACAGGGAATTTTTGGCTTTCCATTACAAAAGGCAAAGTAAACTTCCTATGTGGATGTTAGTCCCTTAATCCTGTATCAGCAAACTTCAGTTAAAATGATAACCAACATTGGTAGGGTAAAGAGAAATATGTGTTTTATAAATTGTTATAATCATTTTAGAAAGCAATCTTTGCTCTAAGAGCAACAAAACTGGCAAAACACTTTCTCAGGAATTCTACATTTGAGAATACACACAAGCGAAATGAGAGGGAATATTTTGCACAAAAAATTTTAAAGCTGTTGTAGACTTAACAGTGATAAAAATATTTCCATAGTGGTCCCACAATTGGGAGAAAATAAACAAATTTTGATACATTAGTATCTGGAATAATATATTACCCCTCAATACATTAAATCATCAATCCTATAGATCTGTGATGGCAAACCTTTCAGAGATTTAGTAACAAACTCCAACCCCAAACCCACTTATTTATTGCAATGTGTCAACACTGCAATTTAACCTGAATACAGTGGGTTTAATTTAGAGAAAACAACTTTACATTACCATCTTTTGTCTTAAAAGAAAAATACCATAATACGTGTGCCATAGGTTCTCTACCACTGCTACTGATACATGGAAAAGCACTGAACACTGTTAGGTTAAACTGCATGTAAAAGAAGATGCATACTGATAAGCAAGAACAGTAAGAAGCTGGGAAAAGATAAAGCTACTTCAAAATATGGTGAGTCCTTCTAAGTTTTGGTTACCATAGAATTACCCTTTACCACAAAATCAATTAAAGATAGAATGAAAGTTCCTAAAGAGTAATTGCTAGGAAGGCCCCTGAGTTTCCTCAGCTTTCCCACCAGATGTATGAGCAAGGGGGCTTAAGTTCTGAGCAGGAAAAGCAGCTCATTCTTAGCCCTTCAGCTCTTCTGGGGATGCCTCAGTGTTGACTTCTTCTGGATGCCCCCCAGAAAGAAGCACAGAACCTTCTTTCAGTCTTTGCCACATTTTATTTGTTTTTGTTTTTTTTTTTCGTCTTTGTGAGACAGGGTCTCGCTATGCAGTTCAGGCTGGCCTTGAGCTCATTTTGTAGCCCAGGCTGGTCTCGAACTTGCAACCATTCTCCTGCCTCAGCCTCCTGAGTGCTGGGATTACAAGCGTGCACCACCACGCCCGGCTGCCACATCTTTTTGATAAAACTCTGTAATATTTCTGTCTCACCATGACCTCTACAACATGGACACATTATGTCCTTTAAGAGATATCTATAGATGTTTAACATATCAAAATAAGAGTATAAATTTCAAAGAGGCATTGAAAGACAAAATGAAACTAATTTAAAATACTAAATAAAATGAAAAAAGAGATAAATGAAGCCCAAAAGTGGGGACAAATATTTCAGATTCATGAATACCTGTGGCATGCAGCACCTTACCTTTCATATTCTAACCTCTTCACAAGGTAAGTGTTGTTCTTCCTGTAGTCCTGAAGCTGGTCTTCTTGTCGAAGAAACTCCTGGCGAAGCTCAGCAAGTTGCTCTAGTCACATAAGAACCAAAAGGAATCCAGTTTACTTCACTGCAATGCCTCCTGCTGAAAAGCTATGGGATGTTTTCAATCATATACACTCCTCAATTTCTTTACTCATATTCTCAGGCAGTTAAATTATATAATAGCATATTTAACTGCCTTCTGTAGCACACCCTGGTCAATAAAATTTATTTTTAAAACAATATATCCATAAATGTTTTCACATCAACTCAAAATACTTTTAAAGTTTTACTTCATATTGTGTAGACACATATCAAACTGTAGAGATAGTACCAAAACCTGTCCATCCTTATAAATCTACTTTACAGAAATAGAAAAAAAATATAGATATGATTAGAATGAGTATTGGCTTCAAGAGTTCTTTTGTCTACCAATTGAGGCTTAATCACTTCAGACCTCATTTCTAGTTCTGGTATTGATGCCAGATTCACATAACCCAAAATACCACTATAAGAGTTCACAATTTCTGGTCTTTTTCAAAAAGTTTTGAGGTGTGACAGAGAACCACAGAAATTCTAGGTTGGACAGTAATTTGATCACATATGCTTTTTTATTGTTTTGGTACTGGGGGCTAAACTTAGAACCTTCAAAATGAGCTGCATCCCCAGCGCCGCTTCCTTTCGTTGTTTCTGAGACAGGGTCTCACTTTGTAGTGCAGGCTGGTCTTGAACCGTGGTGATCCTCCTGCCTCGCCTCCCAGATCCTAAGATTGCAGGCATGTGCCACCATACCTGGCTACTAGCCCTTTTTCATTCTGAGACAAGGTATGGCTAAGTTGCCCGGGCTGGGCTTGCACTTGCCATCCTGCTGCCTCTGTTTCCCAGAGTGCTGGGATCACAGGTCACAATGCCTGGCTCCAAATGCTTTCATTTTTCTCATCATCTGAGTCCATAGGTAAAAAAAAAATGCAGGAGATTAAGTATCTCTCTCTCTTTTTTTTCTTTTTTTCAGTCTTTTTGAGACAGGAATTTGCTAGTTCAGGATGGCTTGAACTCACTCTGTATCCCAGGATGGCCTCGAACTTGCAGCAATCCTCCTGCCTCGGCCTCCCACATGCTGGAATTACAGATGTGTACCACCAAGCCTGGGCACTATCAATTTTTTGGATAGATGACTTAAAAAATTAGCTAACATCCATGGCACTGAAGCAAAGGTGGTATTAAAATCTTAGTTTTTATAAATATAGAATACTGTATAAATAAAAACTATTAAAGTTCAACTAAGGTATGTAACTAAAATGTACTAATACTACACATAACATCTATTTTTCATGGGAGGCTTGTAGAAGTAGTCTTATTACTCCAAAGGCATCCTAAAAATCCTTGTGATATATACATAGGGTAACTGAAAAATATTATGAATGTTTAACTTTAAAAAATTTATAGGGAGAAGTTCAAATAATTCCCCAAATTACCTACTCCATTATTTCAAATATATTTTCACATATATGGTAATTTGTTTCACTAATTTTTAAAATTTTAATTTATTTCTACATGTGTGTAGTACACAAGGTTTACTTTCCTTGTGTGAAGTTGGTACACATACATAACACAACTTAATTCTTCTTTTCATCCTCTTTCCCTTCCCTCCCTCCCCTTCCATCTTGATCTCCTCCTGCCTGTGAGAACACTGACTCTCCCTGTTGCCTATTACAGTACCTATCTTTTCTTCTGCTCTTTGTTACTCTGGGTTTCTCATGTAAGAAAAAGAGTGTGATGTAAGTTTGTGTGTCTGATTTATTTCACTTAACATTATGGTCTCAAGGTGCATCCGTTTTCCTACAAATGACTCAAGTTTATCTTTCTTCATGGCAGCGTAGCACCACATTGTGTACAAAGGGCACATTTTCTTTCTTTCATCTGTTCATGGACATATGGGTTACTTCCAAGATTTAGCTATTATGAACTGCGCTGTTATAATCATGGGTATGCAGGAATTTCAGTAATATGATGTCTCTTTCAGAAAGATACCTGGAAGGGAACTTCTGGGTCAAGGAATTTCTAGTTTTATCTTTTTTGAGGAATCTCCATACTGATTTCCACAGTGGTTGTATTAGTTTATTATTTTATTTTATTTTTTTTTTTTTTTGGTTGTATTAGTTTACATTTTACAGTGTAGAAGGGTTCTTGATCAATCCATGGTCACTACAGAAACAGATCTAATACAGGATATACAAATATGCAAGAATTTACAAGACTGGCTTACAATTGCTGCCCACGGAGTCAGATGTGGAAGAGTGCAAAAGGTCTGTCTGTGCACCGGATATCTGAAGGGTCCACTTGAAGGCCTGGAGCTCACTGCGGTGTCCTGTGTGAGTCCGTATTAGCAGGCTGAAGGGTCTGTGATGGAAGACTGAGGGGTCTGTGCCAAAAGGCTGAAGGGTCTATGCTGGAAGGTTTAAAGCTGAAGAGTCTGCACTGGAAGCTAGGAGATTATGTCCAAGGTGAAGTGAAGACTGGCATTCCTCCAAAGAAACAGAAGCAGTCCTTCCTTCTTTTGTTTCTCTTTTATACCATTCTGGCATTTTTACACCCTCCCTAGGATGGGTGTTCCACACCCAAAACTATGCTGAGGCAATTTAGTTGGTCATTTTTTACTCAAATTGACATAATCAATAATCAATTAACTATCATAGGTTCCTTTTTCCCCTACAGCCTCTCTAGCATTTGTTATTATTTTATTTTATTTTTGGGTTTTTTTTTTTTGGTACCAGGAATCGAACTCAGGAACTTGCACTTGCCAGGCAGGTGCTGTGCCACTGAGCTATATCCCTGGCTTATTTTGTTTTTTGAGACAGGGTCTCACTATGTAGTTCAGGCTGAACTTGAACTCACTAGCTAGTAGACAACATTGGTCTCAAACTCAGGGCAATCCTGCCTCAGCCTCCAAAGTGCTGGGATTAAAGGCCTGTGCCACCATGCTTAGTTTGTTATTTTTTTATTTCTTGTTGACAGCTGTTCTTTCTGGGGTAAGGTGGAATTACAGTGCTGTTTTAATCTGTATTTCTCTAATGACCAGTGATTCTGAGCATTTCTTCACAACCATTTGTACTTCTTCTGTGAAATGTCTATTCATTTAGTTTG